TGTTGCAAATGTACATTTCCACTTTCCCTATTGGCCAAGAGATTCTGCCAGCTAATCACAAGATGAGTAATTTATATTAATTCTCAATGACAATTTGAAAAGTTTGACAAAAACTCTCCTAAAGAGTAGTATATGTTCTTGTAATAAAAGCAAAATATGACTATGTGTCTCTCATGCCTTCCACATTTTGACTGCTACAAGAACTATTCTTAAAAACAATTGTTTCACATTATTTCACAGCCTAAGAGTAATAGGGGGAGGTATTCTTTTTTATGAATTTGTTTTGGGGGATAGTAATATAATTACAAAATTGCTCCCCTCCGTTTCTGCCCTGCAAACTTTCTCAAATCTTTCTCCTTGCTCTCAAATTCATGAGTAGTTTCCTAATCAAATATATATAGCAATATGTCCTAATACACTTGGCTCTCTATTTTTACCATAAAATACCAAATTGTTACCTGAGTCTATACATTTACTCTGTCATTCTCAGTACAGACTGGGGACTGCTAACCTTAAAACTCAAAATTTAAATACTTCTGATTTTGAATTTCTTGAGTGTCATTATGTTGTCAGGGGTAGAAAACTAACAACTCAACATATAGGCTGCAGTTAAAACAAAAATATTGTATAGGGTCACCTCCAGGTTGTAGACATGTAGGAAATATTTTTTTCTTTTGTTGATATCAGGTCTGGAATATTTTCTAATAGCAGCTCCAATAAACTCAGATAAAAAGGAACAGGAGGAATGTATGACTGCATTATATCTTTGTGTGTGCATGAGCACATGGGTGTTGCATGTTTCTGTAGGGAAATGCACATATATATGGGGGATGGAACACACAGAGGCCAGAGACCAACCTTGAATATCATGCAGTTCCTTAGCCTCCTATTCGGTTGTTTTTGTTTTGCTTGGTTTGTGACAGGGTTTGTCATTAAGTAAGCTATGCTGACTTTCTCAGCAGTGGGGTTGAAAATGTGATATTTAGGAAATATTAAGTCTGTGTTTAAACTTGTAGTTACACAGTATCTCATAAAGAATTTTAGGATATTTCAATTTTTTAATTAAAATAAAAAGCATTAATGCCCTAAGTATTACAAAGGATATTCATATTATGCAGAAAATAGTTTATTTAATGATAAAACACTAAATATGGGTTACCCAGTATTTTAAGTATAATTTTAAAGCATTTTCATCAATGTCCTGGATGGCTAGTTTTTAGATATATTGCTAATTATGGTGGTGTCATATGCTCGTTAAATAATATATCAGTGTATAATAATTCTTTAAGATTTATCATTAAGAACTGATTTATAAATAACCCTACAGTACATATACAGGTATGCTAAAATTGTACTTATAATACTTATAGCCATATTTATGTTGGCTTATGTTAGGAATAGAAGATTGGTTTGACATTCAAAGCTAATCAATGTAATTCATCATATTAACAAGTGAAAAAGAAACTATATGTTAGATTGTCACTGCACAACTATGAAAATTGAGTTTTCTTCCATACCAATGTGAAAAAGGGTATACTTGGCTAACAAGACCCAATTATTACAGTCTATACTAAGAAGTATCTTATTACACATAGTCACGAGGATACAAGAAGAAAACTGCAAAAAAAAAAAAAAAGAAGCCGGGCGTTGGTGGTGCACGCCTTTAATCCCAGCACTTGGGAGGCAGAGGCAGGCGGATCTCTGTGAGTTCGAGGCCAGCCTGGTCTACAAGAGCTAGTTCCACGACAGCCTCCAAAGCCACAGAGAAACCCTGTCTCGAAAAACCAAAAAAAAAAAAAAAAAGAAAAGAAAACTGCAAGTTCTCAAGCATGCCCAAACACTCAAAATGAGGTTGGGATATCTTTAGTACCTGCCAGACTATGAAATCACTTTGACAGAATGTAGTTATACTAATTTCATATCAAGGTGAAATTTTAAGGAGAAAAAGATCGTTAGCTTGATTGACTGTGATATGGATTTTGAGAATGAGATTCTTATCTCTAAAAGTAATATTTAAAAAGGACAGTCACAGTAGTTTTTTTAATATCAACAATTTTTTCCTCTTTTTTATTTAATTTAAATTAGAAACAAGTTTGAATTTTACACTGTTTTCCAGTGAATTTTTATATTTCCAGAGCAATATGCAAAAAGAATGTAAAATTGAAGGCTCCAAGTTATAGCCATTATTTTTCATTCTGGATACTCTTGGAACTCATCGGTGACAGATTTATCAAAAAGCTCTCTGTACCAACTGAAAAAAAGGACAACCCATTCCCTGCTATGAACTGTCGATTGTAATTTAGCAAAGTTTGAAGACAGATACACTGAGTAGACAGAAAATTAAAACAGGGGCAGCTCCTGATTGGAAATTTATTCATGGCAGGTAATAGGACAGTCAAGATCTCTGGCATTACGCAGAGAGAGATTTAATTCTGATAAGTTAAATGATGGCACTTGAATCAGGGATTATAAATGGTGACAGGTTGTGACATATAGAGAAGATGAAAATGAGCAACATCACTCCACAGAAGTGATTCAATATAGATGAATTTCTTGAGCAGTCATAAAATTATTTTAAAAATCATTTTCAAGTTTTTAAAGAACAAGACTATACTTTAATTGAACCATGCACACCACTTATATAGCTATTTGTCAATAGATTATAACATTAGTCAACTGATCAAAGGAAAAGAGTAGAAAATAAATTATATTTCAAATATGTAATGGAAATTGTCATTTCTGATTTCATCTGAATAAGGCGCAAACTCAAAATTGTAGACAGACTAGTTATCATATGAAGAGAGTAAATGTGAAGTAATAAGTTTTTGCACAGCTATATGCATGGGAGTGATGTACTTATAACTTTACCAAAAAAGCAAGTTGTTCATATTTATACTTTTAATTTTTGATCTTTATGCCTTTTTACATTTTCTAATAGAGAAGCACATTATTACATTGCCTTTTTAAAGATATAATTCTCTGTACTATAGAAACATGGCAGAGATAAACAATTTTCCACATGGGCAGGCATCTTAATTACCTCTTCTGAATTTGTCAAGTAGTCTTTTAATTGTGATCCAATCTTATTCTGTATGGAGATTTTATAAACTAGGTTTAAAATCCTCTAGTGTTTTTCCCACTGAATTCAAGGGACCACCAACCTTGAATCTGACAGAAAAAAATCCTTCACAGAAGTGATCTTAATACTAACTACCACAGACAACCTATGTGAAATACCTTGAGAACATAATGTCTTTTAGGATTCTAAGAGAGAGCATAAGTAGTACACAGAGTGATCTTCAAAGGGATAAACTGAGGCCAATGGCTCAATGCCATGGCTGATTCATAGCACCAACTGTCAGTAATGGGATAAGATCATCCTCAAAGTAAGTGGTCTACATATAATGATGATGTTACAGGTGATACAACAAGAAAAGTGTACCCAAATTAGAAGCAGTGTAAAAATTTGGTATCTTAAGTCACTAACTAACTTTGGTTAATCAAACTGCAAAACAACGAACCGGTAGAGTAGGCTTTTACTTGTGAATGCTAAATTTATACAAATGGCTCAGGAGTAATGGTAAACTATAAAGTCATAATTAATAATGGACAGCTGCAAATGTTTGTGTAGCACTTTCTCTCTGAGGTTAAAATTTTCCATTTTGCCATGGTAGCACAAACCTTTAATCCCAGCACTTAGAAAGCAGAGGCAGGCAAATATCTGTGAGTTTGAAGTCAGCCTGGTCTACTACAGACTGAATTCAAGGTCAGTCAACAGAAAGACCTGTTGCACAGAGAAACAAAGGGACAAAAAATAAAAATCCATCATGGAGGGAAACTTCGCAAGACATATAAGATATAAATGAAAAGTGGATCAAAAGGATATTTTTTGTAATGGGGTTTACAAGGAGGTAAAACTATAGGACATTTTAAGGAGAAGCAAAACACTCTATCCTACAGAGCTGGAAGTAAACAACTCAAAAGAGCTTCAGAATGTCCCTGAAACTGGTAAGATTCATAAGGGCCCTCCCTCCCCAAGAATATATACAATGAGAATCATTCTTAAAGGAGCTGAGCTGCTTAGAAGAGGCTCAGAACAAGCAGCCTGAAAGAGCAGGGACAAGTCAAACTACCAAGAAGAAATACCAGCTGGGCTGTCAGGAAAGGATGATCTCCAATACTGTGCAAGCTTGAGCTGATTAAATTTAAATAGCACAATTTGACAAAAATAGAAAACTCACGTGTTTTCAATGAATATCATTACTTACCATCAGTGGAAATATAATAAATATATGATGTTAGTCATTTTGAAAGTAGTAATGATTCTAGCACCTAATATACAAGTAGAATGTATCTAGTCTAAATATATGCCATCCCACAATCTGAAATCTTTTGAATCTTGATGCTACAAGTTGAAAATTTCACATTCAGACTCATGTGATGGGTCAAGAACAAAATGCATGCATATTCTATTACTCTGTAAGGTACCAGAATTTTTAATCAGCTAAGGTAGCTTTGTAAATAGATGGTAGCTAGCAAAACCTTTAAATATTTAAGCATTAAAACTTAGTTTATTTATTCCTGAATCAGGCTTTGTAAGTCAGCTGTAAACAGAACCAATGAACTATTGTTGATACATGAAGACATGAAGCATGAGTTTTAAGTGGCCTAATTAAAATGTATGTTATTTTAACAAAAGATTTTCTATGATTGAACCAATGAGATAAAGCTACCTTTTAAATTTTAATAATAAATTACTCACATTAAAACTTTCAAGTGTCAGTATCACCAAAATATTTTAAACTGCATATTTATAAAGTTGAAATTTAACACAATACACCATAAATTGTACTATGCAAAGGTTAAAATTCCTTATATAATGTTTAGAAATTAAATCTAAAGCATTAACTAACAGTTAGAGAACACACACAAATTGATTTATTGAAAAACACTTGAAATTAAGTTTAAACAAAAACAAGTTTCATGTTACATGCACTTACCTGGAATAGATAAATAATCTACTATCCCAAAGATCATGGGTCCCTCTGGGTCCAGAATGAAAATAACAAGAATCGGTCCCATCAAACATGTTCAAACCATCTTCTGAATTTTTTGAAGCATGGCTATGTACCACATCTAAGAGGACAGTGATGCCCATTGAATGTGCTGTGTCAACAAGTTCTTTGAGCTCTTCAGGAGTTCCATAACGACTAAAGAGAAAGGGCACAGAAAATCATTACATCACATTGAAAGCAAACAGCCATTGTACATCAATGCCTATGCAAGCATGGTATTAACTATTTTAAATACAAAAATGTAGTATGATGATACTTATATCACTCAGAGGTGTTATTTTATATAAAGTAATTTTAAAACATTAAAATTACTGCTTAAAACTGACCTAGGTAAAGGGCCCTTAAAGTACTTCTTTCATCAGACTACTCAAAGCTGTCCATTCTGCACTTGTTCCTAAAGCAGCATGTCTCCAGAATTAGATGGCCAAAAGATTGTGCCAAGATTAGTCCACACACTAAGAGGACATGGGTATCTTATGTGCATACTCCTAATCTACCTATAGAAGAAAAGAAACATCACTTCCAGAAGGCCTTCTGTCACTCCAGGGAAATTTTCATATAACTGTTTTCCAGCATCAGCTTTTCCCTCTAGATACAGAAGTGTCCTTGATATGGTTATGATCGCTCTTCCCTATCAGATGACATGCTTCTTCATGGCAGAGTTTGTGTACATGAGCCTTTCAATGACAGTGTGATGCTTAGCAAATAGCAATTCTCCTAATGCGATCCTAATGCCATGAAGATGAAGATTGGGTCATTAGATGGCGATTTCTCATAACACTGGGTTCTCTGCAGCACTCTACCCCTTCCTTTCCTTATGAAAGCCACATTGGGACGCTTTCACTAATTGAACAACATGCTCAGTAAATGAGCAGCCCTCCCTTTCAATCAGCCATTTCATTCATTCTTTCTTTCTTTGTATTCTTAATCAAATTTGTATTAAGATAGCTACCATAATAATTCTCCATGTTATTTTTTATTTACATGACAATTCCAGTTCCCTCTCCTTCCCATTCTCCCACACACCCTTACCGAACCCCCATCCCATAAGATTGCATATTAAACAATATATAGAACTGTTCTGGAAATTACATTAAAACGAGACAGAAACATGAATGAGATATGATGAATAATGTAGCAAATAATTTTTCATAGGCAAAATGAAAAAGGAAACACACTGTCTCAAGAACAGTTATCAGTTACTGGCTTTTATAGGTAATACTATAAAAGCAAGAAAGGTGTAAGAAAAAAGACAGGATATCTATGAGGAGAATATTTAGGGAAATGAGTATAGGCATGGGAGCAGTCAAGGTGGAACAAGTTAAAACATATGAAGACTAAACCTGATGTGGCATGTGTTCGTCAAAAGAGACAGCAAGAGCACCTGTCATATGACCAATGGAAAATCAGTGATTTTCTAAAAGAAACAGTAAATCACTGAAGGGAGTTTTTGAGCAGGAGATTCATATAACTTAACATTCATCTTTAAATGCTTTACTGGGACCATAGTGCAGAAAACAGATATTTGAATCAAGACAGAAATTTAATGAAGAAGTTCAAACGACCAGGGAAGAACTACTGAAATGAGCCTAGGGAAAGACTGGCAACTTGGACCAGAGTAGGAGCAGGAGGGCAGGTGAGCAGCCAGTTTTAGGATACAATGTGAAGTAGCAGATGGCTACGTTTTGTAATAAGTAGAGAACAAAAAGGGAAAGAAATGGAATTAAACAGTATAATGCCAAGATTCTGGCTTGAAGAATTAAGAATTGAAAAATGTCACTTAATGAATTAGTAAATATGATGCATAAGGAAGACAGAAGACATGGTGAGAAAATTCACGAGAAACATAGTAAAGATATGTATTGAACACATAAGAATATAACTTACAAGGATTAGAAACATCAAGTTTACATAGAGAGTATACTAAAGCTATAGAAATGGAAAGAAACAGAGCCAAATAGAACTAAAATGTTTCCTCCTTAGGAGAAAGATGAAAATGAAAGGAGTGAAAAAATATACAAAAAAAACTGAGGTGAGAGGTACCACAGCAGAATACCATGTTGTGGAATTAAAGATAAAACTAAAACTCTTCCAAGGAGGTAAACAGATGTGGCTGTGTTAAATGATTCTAAAAATTTGAGTTAACCAAGAAAAGCTACTGTACTCCAGGGAAGAAGGTAACCAGTGGCTTTACCAAACACTTAGTAAAGAGACAGACAACTTCTTGGTTGCGGTTAGAAAGCAACAAGTTTAAAGCATTAGACACAGTAGATATAGGTAGCTTATGTAAAGATAACTCCAGGGAGATGTAAAGAAATTGGTTAGTATCTCCTTCTAGACTATTATATGCCTAAGCTCACTTCTAACTTTCCTCAGCTATTATTTTTACAGTTTCAGTCCACTTCAAATATCACATCAGATTTAATCGACAGTCAATTTTGGAGTAATATAAAAGCAACTTGTGGCTAGCTGTTATTAATAATAGAAACCACTAGATGTATGGGTACTAAATTAATGTCTATTTCCCACACTGTGAACTACATAAGGCTGAATTAATGTTGGTTTTGGTTAATTTGTGGTAATCAAAGACACACACAGGACCATTTAGTGTATAGTCTTTCGCCACAACGAGCCATATTCAGGCAGAATAAGTCAGAGTTGGGAGGTCTATCTGTGCAGTCGAGCACCTCCCACATGTCTCTTCCTAACACTGATCTCTTCCTACAAAAAGGTCTGAGTTCCTTCAGTACTGGTTTGCGCAGGATACAGTTTCTGACTAAGTGTGTGCCTGCAAAGGAATAGTTTCAGTGAATACACAGACATCTGTGAGCTGATGTTATTCCACAAAATGTGATGTTAAATCTGGGTCAGTCAAGGCTACATTTATCTGAAGAGAATGACCGCACTAAAAGAAAACATTCAGCTTCTATTAACCATAAGCATAAGTGAGGTTATAAAACAAAGCTAAGTTAAATGGCAAAACTCAATTTGATTATATTGTTTGAAATACACATGAAGATGAAATATTCATTTTACCTTGAAGCTGCAAAAAAGCTAGTGATTTGGTACCCAAAACTGGCATAGTAAGCATGTTCCATGATCGCCATCAACTGAATGCAGTTGTATCCTATATACACAAAGCCCAAAGAAAGTCAAAACTACATTTAAAAAAGAATGAAAACTTGCATGTTCTGAAGAGATAACATTTACAAAGAATCTGTAATCTCTAATCATCACACAAAGCTCTACTACTTTGACACAATTTACTTGTCTGACCCTCTAACACAACTGGACATTTGTCTCTTAGAGTCACATTCTGCTAGTTATGTGAAATGTCTTCATTTGGATATGCAACAAATGAGATGCATATATATATATATATAATTTTGCTTTAAAATATCAAACATGAAAATCTGCATATGCTAAACTTCAGTTTTACTTGTAATATCCATATTGAAGATTACGAAGCTAAATAAAAGTAACTGATTGCAAGATGTACGCTTTTTACTTTGCCTCTTTTCATTATGATTCAGATATTTTACCATATAGCTTAGGAATATATTACCAAATTTATTTTTTCTACAAAGTAGGTCTTATGAAGCCAGGAGTAATGTCCCTATGGGATAATTCTGAAGTGTTAAGTGTTTTTCATGTACACATACAGATATGGGACAAACAGTTTTTCTTTCCTCAACTGAATTTTCTCTAATGGTAAATGAAGCCTCCCAAAAAGAAGGAATTTTCCTTTAAATATTCATAAAAACAGTAGAATTAGCCACAAGTAAATAATCAGAAAAAAAGACAGAACCTCTTGACCTTATTTAAAAAAAAAAGAAAAAGAAAATCAATAGGAAATCAGTATTTGTTTTCTTCCAAGTACAATTTTATCATTTATCACATATGAGCTGGTTGCTTAGAAAGTTACATTTCTACAGCAAACATACTATTCTGATTATATTCCTAATCCTCCATTCCTAAGCTTTACAATTTTCATAGAGTACATCAAATCAGATTCACTAACAAGTAGTTTAATAGTCACTGAACGTGTGAGAAAACCAAACTCCATATTAACTTCAATGTCTTCAGTTGCTGTGTTGTAACTCCTCATGACTCTATTTTAGTATATCACAAATTCTGTAACAGTTACAAATAAATTCAGGAGTTGGAATTTATATATTTAATGCATTTCTGCAAGACTTACCATAGGTGCATTATTACAAAAGGGAAATGATTTATTTCTATTAGACCTAAAAAAATGCAGGTATAGAATCTAGGTAATGATGGGCATCGTTTTTCATACATCTTAGAGTGAAACTAGGAGTTTTAATTCCATCTCAATTATATAATAGATAGTATTGTTACAGAGCTCCCCCTCACATGTCCGTTGTTTATTTGAATGTCACTAATCATGTCTCCCTCTCTACCTGCGGTGCTAGGCAACTCAATGTTACAGAGGAATATTTGTGTGCTGCTGAGGCACATATTAGAAGCCAGATATAAATAATGTATTATTCTACAATAATGAAAATACTTCTTCAATGGGTGAATGTAACATAATACCTATCTACCAATGCTAACAATAAATGTAATTAATTTCAGTTTCTGGAATTGTAGTTCAGTTCACAATCACAGATAATTAGGATCTATACATAAGTGAGAACTTTAACCCTGACTTGCATTTAAATCAGTATTCTAACTAAAAACTAAACTCCCTGGCAGAAGTGATAAAATTAAATGTACTTTGTCTTCCTGTCTGGCTGTTGCAGCAGGAATATTTTTATACTGCATTATCTATAAAAAGAAAAATAATAGGTATAACATCTACGGAAGCAGGTAGTCAGTCAAATAGGATTCCTTTCTTGACACTCTGAAGACAGTCATGCCTGAGACAAGAATATCTCAACGTGTTTCAAATGTTGTCCAGAAATGTTTGTGGAAAAAGTTATCCAGATATTGACACTATATAATAACTGACCCAAAATGAGTTCTAGACACCTTGCAAATACTAGATTATTTTTTCCATAAAATACTATAATTGAGCATCTATTATCAATGGCCACATCAAATGAGAAAGGTTATCTTCCGTACAAAAGTAATTGCACTTTCATATTTATCTACAATTTGGAAACCATCAGTTCACATTACTATAAATTGAAATTGGAATAATATCTTGAATGCTTATGCTCTATCTTATTCCATTTCTCTTTTCTGTGCTATCACTGTTACTGAGCAATTGGAGAAGCCTAAAATAAAATGCATTTCTATTACATATTTAATCTCTTAACACAAAAAAGAGACACTTGTAATTAGCTTTTCTAATAAGAGGGCCATCTCATTAAAATTTTATTGGAATAAAATCAAAATTATTACTTACCAAGGTCTTTGATTCTTGGTAGTACATTGCATGTAAAATGTTTATAAGAAGCTATTTTTCCTTCATGAGAAGATATTCCCACATGAGATTCATAAATTCTTAGACTTCTTGGTTTCTTAGGTCTGGAATGCTTGAACTATAGAATACGGAGTTACAAATGGAAATTAAACCAAGCATTCAGTTGTGACACTAACTAATCAAGTATGAGAAATAAAATACTGGATAAATTCAGTGAAACACTGGTGATTATTCTCCCACAACAAAGGCAATGTCTGCATACAGTATTCTTCCTAACCATCTAAAGGATTGTATTAACATGAGCACTTTTAGAAAAGTCATTTCATACCTCATACGGAATCACTGACTGGAGAGAGTTTTTTTTTACTTTTTCGAGCCTATGCTTTATAAGACTATGGAATCCTGATTGGCATATAGTATTTAATTATTTAATGGAAACCATTCATTAGCAAAATCGAGTAATACAAATGACTGAAAAATTAGTTCTAAAATACATGTAACACATGTGAAACAATCATAAAATATTCCCCAAACTACAATTCCACTGCCAGAGAGTCTGGGAAACAGGGAGGACCCTAAGAGAGATATGCATGGTGCCCCAGTGAAAGGGAATGGGACAGGATCTCCTGAGCTAATTGGGAGCATGGGGGGAGGGGAGAGGGAGATGGGGGAAAGACAAGGAGAGAAGAGGAGGGGAGAGGAGGACATGGGGGAGCAGGAAAAGTTGAGTCAGGGGAAGAATAGAGAAGAACAGGATGAGAGATACCAAAATAGAGGGAATCATTATAGGTTTCAGGAGAGATCTGGCACTAGGGAGATTTCCAGAGATCTACAAGGATGAAACCAACTGGCAATCTAAGCAATAGTGGAGAGGCTACCTTAAATGCCCTGCCCCAATGAGATTGATGACTACCTTATATACCTTCATCCAGTAGCTGAAGGAAGCAGAAGCAGACACCCACAGCTAAACACTGAACTGAAGCCAGTTACAGAGAGGGAGGAGTGATGAGTAAAGGGGTCAAGACTTGGCTGGTGAAACACACAGAAATAACTGACCTGAGAAAGGGGGGAGCTAATGGACACCAGACTGATGGCTGAGAGGCCATCATGGGACTGATCCAGGCTCCCTAAATTTGGGTATCAGTAAGGATGTCTTGGCAATCTATGAGGCCTGGGGTAGTAGATCAATATTTATCCCTTGCATACGAATGGACTCTGGGAGTCCATTCCACATGGAGGGATGCTCTCTCAGCCTAGACACATGGAGAAGGGCCTAAGCCCTGCCAAGGATGAAATGACAGACTTTGGAGATCCCCTATGGAGGACCTCACCACTCCTGGGGAGTGGAGTACGGATTGGGTGGGAGATTGGAGGGGGGGATTGGAAGGGGTGGGGGAAGGAGGGGAGGGAGAGGGAGCCTGACACATTCCAGCATAGAAAATGCAGATGTTCAAGAAGTCATACACCTAGCTAAGAGATACTGGCAACTGATAATTGCAGGCTGATCCATCTTCACATACACAGTAGTAGGAATATTAAGTTATTTAAAATTTGTATGTTTGAAATATAACAAAAAATAGTATTTCATCTTGATAAATATATAGAAACTTACTATTTTTAACTAACTTCAAAATAAGGCAGAAAGAAAATCATTACTTCCATGTTTAATTGAGTAAGAATGACAGACTCTGATATAAGATGTATAACATAGGAATAATACCATGCAGAACACTAAGCAGACAGTAAAGAAAGACTTTTAGCAGTGTCATGAAAGCTATAAAATAATAAAATAAAAATTCATTTCCCTAGAAATACTAAAGTAAGCAAACATTTAATGTATGCTCTTCTCACTTTATATGGGTCTTCTGGATCCCAGTGTATCCAATCATAATTCACATTGTCACTTTCACGAACCACATACTTGGCCCACGGTGAAATGCGATACAAGATCTCACCACTTTTACTAGTAATAACAACCTAAAAAGAAAATGAGATGGTACTGATTAAAAATAGGTTCACAACTTTAACAGAGTACATAATAGTTAATGAGCATCCACAAGACTACATTTGAATTCTTTATTCATAAGCTATTACTATATGATCCTTAAAGTTATGTATAGGTTGTATTTACACAATCCCCTTCTAATTTACGTGGTTGCAAACCAACCATTAGAATACTTAAACATATTATAGATGCTAAAAAAAACATTATTTGCTAATAAGTCTATCATCTACAGGAAATATTCCTCTTCTTCTGGATTGGAAAAAGCAAATTATACAATAATCGCTTCCTTTACTTCTTTGTGAAAATACATTATAACATTTTTTAGATGCTGAATCAATCAGTCTACTGGCTTAACACTTGATATGCATACACTTCAAACACACAACTAAAGAATAAGTCATAAAACAGACATGAAATACTACAACCACAGTCAATGAATAATGTTCTTGTAATGTTTCTCAACCTTCCTAATACTGCAACCCCTTAACACAGTTGTTCATGTTGTGGTGACCTCTACTTCATAGCTGCAATTTTTTTATTTTATGAATCATAATGTAAATATCTAATATGCAGGATATCTGATATATGACTCCTATGAAAGGTTAATGTGACTGCCAAGGGGATCACAACCCACAGGTTGAAAATCATTGTTCTAATATCTTGCTATCATTTTTGCTTTGTGAACAAAGCATCATTTCAGAACATTATTTTGCTGACTTTACTGTTCACTAAAATATTATCAGAAGCCAATGAGTTATAAGTGAGAGAAGAAACAGACACCCTACCATTATCCATGCCCCCATACCTCCTGTTCAGTTACAGAAGAAAAATGCTTCAGCTACTAACGTTATCACTATTTCTTCCTCTTTTTTTAATGGACCACATCTGGTTTTTTGTTTAATCCATTCTTCAGTTGAGGGGCATCTAGGTTGTTTCCAGTTTCTGCTTATTATGAGTAAAACTTCTATAAACATAGTTGAGCAAATGTCCTTGGGGTAGGATGTAGCATCCTGTAGGTAACTGTCCAGGAGCAGTATAGCTAGATTTTGTGATAAACTGATTCACAGTTTTCTGAGAAACTGCCATATTTATTTCCAAAGTGGCTGTAAAGTTTGCAATCCGAATAGCAGTAGAGGAGTGTTCGCATTGCTCCATATCCTCTGCCCCATGAACTGTCACTTGTGTTTTTGAGATTACCTTTTCTGACAGGTGTAATATGGAATCTCATTTGATTTGCATTTTCCTCATTCCTGAGGGTGTTGCAGAAGCTCAATCATACCATAAGGGCACTTGCTCAACTATGTTGATAGTAGCATTATTCCTAATAGGCAGAACCTGAACAACCTAGATACACCTCAACCAAAGTAAGGAAATGGAAAATGTGGTACATTTACACAATGTAGTATTACTCAGCTGTTAAAAAACAACAACAACACAATGACATCATAAAATTTACAGGCAAATGGATAAAAATAGAAAAAAATTCCTTCTGGGTAAGGTAACCCAGACCAAGAAAAACAAACATGGCATGTACTCACTCATAAATGAATTTTAGGAGCAAAGTAAAGGATAACCAACCTACAACCCACAGTCCTAGAGAGACTGGATAACAAAGAATACTCAAAGAGGAAAGCGTGCATTTCCCTGGGAGGGGGAATAGAAGAGATCTCTTGGGTAAACTGGGGGCCACATGGGGAAGATAGGGGATGGAAACTTGAGGGAGCAGGTTGGGTGGGCTGGGTTCAGGAGGCAGGTTGGGGTGGAACTGAGGGAGATAGTAAATAGACATCTTGATTGGGGCAGGCATGTCAGGGTTAGGGACAAACCTTTTAACAGGGAAACTCCATTGAATCCACTAAGATGACCCCAGCTAAAACCCCTAGTAATAGTGGAGAGGGTTCCTGAACTATTTCATCTACTGTAATCAGATTGGCAACTACCCTAATGGTCATCATTGCGCCTTTACCCATCTGGAAGCAGATGCAGAGATTGACAGCCAAGCCCTGAAGAAATGGAGGAGGGCTTGTATGAGCCAGTGGGGACAAGGTCATGATGGAGGAGCCCATATAGACAGCTGACCTGGACATATGGAGTCTGGACCAACAATTAGGGAGCTTGCATGGGACCAACCTAGGCCCTCCCCATGCTTGTGACCATCGTGTAACTTGGTCTGTTTGGAAGGTTGCTAGCAGAGATATCTGATCCTGTCCCTGGTGATTAGTTGACCTCTGGGAACCTGTTCCCCATGATGGAATGCCTTGTCCAGCCTTTATGCATGAGGAGCAGTTAGGTCCCACCTCAAGTTGATGTGCTATGCCTTGTTCAAGCCCATGAGAGTCCTGGGCCTTTCTGAATGGAGACAGAGGAGGAGTGGCTGAGGAGTGGGTAGACAGGAGGTGGGGAAAACCGGAGGACACTAGGGAGGGTAAATTATGGTTGGCATGTAAAATAAATGTACAAAATTAATAAGATAAAAAGTTACTACCATATCTTAAGGTCATTCTGAGAGTCACCTTTGAGAACACTACAAAGCAGACAGCCCTACTGAATGCTATATGAAAATGGATGCTTCCAAACTCACCACCCCAATCCAATGATGCAAAACCACAGAGTAAGTGACAGTCCACTGGGCCTACAGTTTCATCTTTGTAGGGCTTGCAGAATGAGGAGGCAGTAAAAACATGGTTCTCAACTTTTGAAGGCTGTGAGAAAAGCAATTGTCTTCAACCTGGGAATCCCAAACTTTCTTCCTGAATTCATGAGGTGGTAAGAGGAAACTCCAAAACTTGTCATTAGGGTATAAGCAACAGACACACCTGACAAAGAGTATTTGTTCTTTCACTGAATGTATTTTTCCCACATGTTCTATTTCTTCTTTTTCTAACACCGATAACTAGGGACACATATTATTGTAAAGATCTTCAACTTTCTATTTCATTTTCCTTTCATGGAAAGATACACATGATATGAGAGCACAGCTTCCACCAAATCTGAAAACTATGTGATTTTTACATAGTAACTTTATAAAGATTTCCTTGGGGTATTTTCCCTACTAGGCCAACTTGTCCAGGAAGAGCACTTCACTTTCAATGCCTCTTCTCAATGTCTTTATTCTGAAAAAACAACTAGGAGTACTATGATAAATTCATCCAAGAGACAGATAATAAAAACATCTTTTTGTATATAATTTTGTTTATAATTTTATAGGTGACTGGGCCTTCCTGAATATTTTCCATGCCTCAATGACTTCTGACTACAGTTAGCAAGTTTCAGAAATTAGTATTCCTTCATGCTACAGTTAGTTGATCTTTTAACATTTGATAATGGGTGGGTAGAAAATGCCACTTGATACTTTCATACAAAAGATCTTATTCACAGCTACTGAGTATACAATATCTCAATTTATATTTTACGGAGTAGCAGGAGTTCAAAAAGTGATAATCTCAATATTAGGGCAATTTTAATTATGTAACCAATAACAGTGTATCCATAAAAATGATGTCCCTGTCTAATAGTCATATAGTGTTTTTACTAATAAAAATTAAATACTTGAATACGTCTATTAAAAATAAAATACTGTCCTTACTCAGAAAACATTCTTTAAAGTTATGAACGTCACCTTCACTAATGTAAATGTACCGAACGGGGGAAGTGCTCTTATCCATTCCTATATTTGATTACAACTTCAGTCCTTGCACAGTTTCTAAATTTGAAAACACTACTAATGATTGCAGATACGTGACCTGTGTAATTACACAACTCCAAGGATCCATGCTGCCCTAGTTGTAAATATTTTACACATTAAGCATATTCAATAATAACTCATTTATTCAAACAGAAAAAATTATCAGTGTAATAATAGGTATTATAACATAATGAAGATTTTTAGGCAAACAATTTGTGAAACTATAATTTTATAGCATTGTATAATTATTTTAGCATGGTCTTATTTCATAAATCAATTTATGTAACTTAACTAAAGGTTACAATTGAAGGACATTATCAGAATAAAGGAATCAGTAAAAGAAAACTCTAGGGCTGGAGATGGCTCAGAGGTTAAGAGCACTGCGTGTTCTTCCAGAGGTCCTGAGTTCAATTCCCAGCAACCATATGGTGGCACACAACCATCTATAATGAGATCTGATGCCTTCTCCTGGGGTACAAACATGTACACAGATAAAAATCTGCATACATAATAAGTAAATAATTTAAAAAAGAGTTACCTTTAAAAAAAAAGGAAAGAAAACTCTAAATGTACAAAGACAAGTTGACTTACGTGAACTGTACGAAGTCGAATTTTAATTAGAGAATGTAATCTGGAACTCAACTATGCAATATAAAAGTGTTAGTAAATGGTCAATATCTTAAAAACAAAAAAGAAAAGAAAGGAATCAGTGATCCTTCAAGCAAAAATATATATTTTGAGATCTTTCTTGCAAATGAATGTCTTTCCATGCACTGGAAAATTACTGAAGTAAGAGTTCTCTTCAGGTGGCCAGCAATTCTGTAAAAAACAGTAACAGCCTCAGCTGGTAACAGCAAACCAAGTGTTTCTGGGAGATGCTACTGAATGTAACTCCAGTTTCATGACTGAATATATAGCAGACAAGCAGAAAAAATGAAACTATTAAATAGTATCCAAGTTGCCCAAATTAAACCACCAAAGTCTCATGTTAGAAACAACGATCATTTAACAACAAACTTTTGAGAGTGAAACAAAATGATATTGATTAAAGGAACTATTTAAGGAATTCAAGTCACAAATGACAGAAAAGCTTTTCTAATCAATGCTACCAAGCCACCTCTTCATTTCTTCCTGTATTCCAACTTTCATGTTATATAAATGACTAAAGTAGCAAACACGAAGGAAAATGATACTATCATAGATTTATACATAAACATAATGAACATGTACATCATACATCTACCCATCTGATAAGATATGTTACAGGGCACAGGTTGATAATTTCCA